GGCGAAAAAAAATCGTTAGAAACGGTACAAAAACCGCGTTTTTCCGAACGCGTTAGTGAGCGAGAAAGAGCTGTATAAACGCGTTTTTGTTGTTCAGAACTTTAGAATAACGCGTTCTTTGACAACGGGTTTGCTAATGATCGATAAATTAACCGTTTTCCGGGGTATTTGTTGAACGCGTTTTCTAACGATATTAAAATAGTCGTTTAAACGCGTTCTAAGGTGTCATTTCTAAACGCGTTTACAAAAAATTCAAAGTTATAGCATTTTAACCGCGTTAGAAAACGCGTTCGACAAAAAGGCCAGAAAACGGTTAATTCAATGATCGTTAGCAAACGCGTTGTCGAAGAATGCGTTATTCTGAAGTTTTGAACGGTAAGAAACGTTCGCTGACGCGTTTCATCCTGTTTCTAACGATTTTTTTTGACATTGAAATTTTTCGTGAAGTATTCATTTTACTGCTCTCCATCAGTTTTTTGTCAGCTAATGTAATGATAAGAGGATAATGGTGGAATGAGAAAAGTGGTAGAAGGATGAGAAAAAAGTTGATGATTCAAACTTCTGTGTCTTTCCTCTGTTTTTTGTTTTGGATCATTTCAAAACGCGTTAATTAACGTTTTCAATGTCGTTCACATTCATCGAAAAATGCGTTTTCAAATGAATAGATAGAAAAACGCGTTTAAACGACAAAGAAAAAGCGTTGGTTTTGAAACCTTTAATGCGTTTTTTGTCAATTTTTTTACCCCTATGAAGGTATGTGCATTCGGCCACTTTTATATTTCGTTTGATCGTGTCGGTTTGATATTTTGTCCAGTTTTCTCGAGTTTGAAAACAGTTTATGACATCTCCAAATTCATCTGTTCTGTTTATTAATTAAACTTTTTTGTTATTGAGAAAGTACAAAACGAAACAAAGCTTTGTAATATAAAATTCGTTTCCGATAGTACAACTACGTTATTTATTTTTTATTTCTCCTCCTTAAACAGTTCGCTGTAATACTCTTTTTTTATAGCCAATGTAAGCCTTTTGTGCGAGCAATAGAACTTTACCGTTTACTTGTCTTTATGGTATTGCTTTTTATTTTCATTGTTTTTTAAAAGTAATTTTTTTATATAACTTTGCTTTAATTTGATTGAAACAGAAATTCTGAAAACTACAATTTGACTGAAACTCGTTGAAACAACATTAACATTGAAATTATCCATATATTTTGTGATTCTAAGTGAAACCAGTTTCAACTAAAATTTGAGCGGACGACGGTATAGCAATGATACATTATAACGATAGAATCTCATCAGATACAATAAATTAACAGATCTTTTGAACCTATGATTCATACTTTTATGCTAGATTCATATTTTAAAAGACTATATTTTAGATGATTATAGTCAATAATTATTAAATTAGTTCACATGATTAATTTTTTCGATTAATAACTTTGAGTCAATAATTAGTTTCAGTATAAATATGGTTTGTGTAATGTGCTTTTTGTCATAAGAATAGTTATATCATTTTTCTTTCATATCTTTCAGAACACTACAGAATGGTATTTACAAGGATGGATTGAAAAACTAAAGATTAATCGGCGATATTACACACCGATTCCAACAAAAAAAAATGAAAAGTATAAATTATTTAAAAGAGTTGTAAACTAGAAAATATATTTTCCGATTATTTTTTAGCACCAGAAAAAAATTAGATCCGCATAATGTTTGGTTAAAAAACCATCCTCGTTCGAAATGGATACAGAAACATACTACAACTGCCCTAACTGATGCTTATGGTAATTTAGAAAGTACAGGAGCACAAGTAAGACCGTCAAATATGCTTAGAAAATTAACGTAAACAAGACGTCTGGATTGCAGAAATTTAACTTTTATGTGAAAGGCTCTTGCATTTAAAATATCTCTTCTTTTTGTTTATGAACTTGAGAATGTCGGGTTGCATTCAATCGTAGGCATTCGAACTATTCCTAGTGAAAAACTTACTCGAATCTTACTAAAATCTTAGAAAAATCTTAGTAAGATCTTAGTACTATTTCGCTTGCATTTCTCTACGATCTTTCTAAGATTATACTGTCTAAGATTTTTCCAAGATTGGATAAGAATCTGTTAGGATCATAATACTAGGAACTATGACGTTTTTTAAATAATGTTCATTCGAGATTCGCTACGAATTTTTTGAATTTTTAATCCTCATTATCCAAAGTAGCAGATGAACAGTGTTGAAGAATGAAGAGAAATTTCATATTTTCGGGTGTTCGACTAAGGAGCTTGACCTGCACGTACACTCTCTAAACAGTTGTTGAACACTTTCAAGAGAGCAAGTGTCAACTGAGTCTGGAAGAAAAATAACCGTAAAACCACTCTTAGTTTCGGTGTTACTTGTCTAGATGAATGAGAGCCACACAAAGGGATGAATAGAAGTAGAGTCATTAAGATCTTAGATAATCTTATCAGAATCTTAAAGAATAAGATCTTAGTAAGATAATTTTAAGAAATATCTAAGATTTTTACTAGGGTATGTTGCCTTCGTTCGTTGCCAAATTCATACTGACGTGTCTACATCAGAGACCCGATTTGGCCTCTGGTTTATATAGCTAGTATTATACACCGTTTCACAGAAGATAATTTGTAGATTACGTATATGATTTTTGTTTGAAAAATTAAATAGAACATTTTTTTCCATAACATTACGGCAAATAAATATGATGAAAATATACTCAGTTATACCGATGTACGCTGAAGCTCATCAGCGAAACACCGAACTTTTAGAGATAGCATCTGATATAATGTTGATGAAAGTATTTGTTGAAAAACGTTTATGCAAATCGACTTGCATAACCAGAATAACATCCTGTTTGAAAAGATGAATAAAACGTAAAAATTGACTTTTGCAAGCTTAGTCTATCCAAATAAAGGTAAGACTTTAAGCGGGTTTTCTCTAAAGCCATTTTTAGTAAAACGTTTTTATTATTCTCTTCGCTTGAAAAGGAATGATCGTAAAAATGTTAATATGGGTTTTTTCTTTTGCCTGTAATCCTTGTCCGTTTGTTCGCAAATCTGCGAACTCCCTGAGTGTTATGAGATTGCAAGTACACTGACGCATTCTGCTTGTTTTACTGGAGCAACACACGTGATAAACGCGCTTGAACAAATGCAATTAAAACGTAGTACGCTATCTACGAATATTAAGAACTATTCCGTACAAATTGATTTATGAACACGGACGTGTAAACTACATTCGGAACTACACCTACAAACGCGCTTAAAAATGACACTCAGTTTCGTGCACGAGCTCTCTGGAGTTACAACCATTAGATCTATGATTTTCGTCGTAATACAAGCGAGTTGTAATGAAGTGTCGGGATAAAATGTCTTGTTCGTCTTTATTCGCCGTCTGTCACAGGAAAGTTTCAGTCATGGCACCCGGTATAACAGCATGATACACGGTACTTGTTACCAGGCATGGGCGAGTCCGAGTCTGGACCGGAAGGTTTTTTGGTAGACTCGGACTTGAGATTTTATTTTACGTCCGATCTATTCAACTTCTAACACAAATGAACAGAGAAGAATGATAAGTGAAATAACAACACCTTCTGTTTCACAAGAAATTGAAAGTTTTATTCGAAAGACGGACGTGCAAAGTAATTTTTGAAAAATTAAATATCTATCCAGGGCTCAGGAAATTAAAAAAGAGAAATAAAAATTTTTGCTAGAGCAGGCGGACTTTAGCTTTAGGGTACTTGTAAACTACTCCATCACCCATCAACACCGACCAACACCTCCTAACACCCTATACCTGAGGTACCCTGATCGAAATACTTCCACCAACATCCGCCAACGCCCACCAAGGGCCACCAACACCCAGATGGACGCGTATTTGTATCTGCTGACATTTCCACATTATTCGGGACGCTGAGTAACTTATAGAAACGCACGTACATCACGTATCCTGTTCCTCACCTACACCCTCACCCTCACTCGAATCTTTTCATTCAGTAGGTAACGAAGGAAGATTTCAAGGATCACCCACCTCTGCCTCATGAAATCTTCCTTCGTTACCGGCTCTACCACGGTGGGCATTTTTTGCTAGACCAGGCGGACTTTAGCTTCATGAGTGAACTAAAATTTGATGAACCATAATTTTATAGGTTTTTCATGATTCTCTTTCTAATGGCATGAGAGCTGGGCTTTGAAAAAGTTTTCTAAGGAGTTTTCCAGAGATCCGATCTCTGAAAAACCCTTCAGAAAACTTTCTCAATATTTAAGAACGACGCCACTGGAAAGACCATTGAAACATGTTTCGAGTCGTTCAGGTTACCTTATCTTAAAATTCAAATTTTCAGCGGGAAATTGTTCGTGTGAATCTCAAATACAAAGAAATTTCAAGAATTAAAAATCGAGCCACCGAAACCAGATGAGTTATACACCATTCGATGCAGTTTTTCACGCTGATTCCGAATATGACCGAAAGTGCTTTTTTGAGGGAGAAAACTGTGAAATACTCGAAAATCCCCAGGGTTTTTGGAAAGCCTGTAACTCAGCATCCCTACAGTTGGAAGACTTTGTGAGATCAGTATGTGTAGAGGAGGTTGAGACGAACATTTTGAGCTATTTTTCATATCAATAGCTGCTCAGCGGAGTTTAGTGATTGCATTTTTATGAGGACGTCTTTTTTTAGATGAGTTCCGTGGAAAGATCTTCGCGCGTTCCCCGAAATTTAACTTTGTCCGACGAAAATTTTCTTACGACTAGATAGCCCAACAGATGATGATTCTATATATGTCATTGTTTTTGAAAAAAACTTATAATTTGACGGAGAAACCATAATGCCGCCTAAATGCCTACAGTGCCCCTCGGAGTCGCCTATGCCTGCTTGTTACGCAGAACTCTCCAGAGATAGCTGTCTATGGCAAAAATAAAATTTTTAAATGGAGGGACCTGTGAATGACCACATTCATCTTATTTGTACATATAACATAAATACAGACTTTACATATGCTTAATTTCAAATTAGAAGACCCTAAAAGTCATTGAAAGGCAAAATAAAAGTCTTTTTGAGTCTCCAGAGATCCAGTACTTTTAAATGAAATGTTTTGGTTAAAGCATGCCAGGAATTTAAAAAGGGCGATTTTTGATCAATTTTAGCAAAAAGAATAAAAAGAAGTTGTAGAAGTGCTTTAGTTACCACAGAGTATACAGGCTTTGGTCACTGATCAATGATATCAGTTGTAGGGGTTGAGCAGCGGGGATAGAACAGAATGCACAGGATGGGAATGAGAACACGTCAG